TTTCTTCCTCAACAGTCATTCCTGGATCTCCTTTCCTGGTTCCTCCTCTTTTTCCTGACAGCTCAATTTAGGTGTAACCTAAGATGTAACTGTAGGGCTAAGTTCTCTAATATCTCTCTCTCTCTCTTTTTTTCTTCTTGTTTTTTGAGACGGAGTTTCGCTCTTGTTACCCAGGCTGGAGTGCAATGGCGCAATCTCGGCTCACTGCGACCTCCGCCTCCTGGGTTCAGGCAATTCTCCTGCCTCAGCCTCCTGAGTAGCTGGGATTACAGGCACGCGCCACCATGCCCAGCTAATTTTTTGTACTTTTAGTAGAGACGGGGTTTCACCATGTTCACCAGGGTGGTCTTGATCTCTTGACCTCGTGATCCACCCGCCTTTTTTTCTTCTTATCTACATTTCCTCTCTGTCTTCACCCTGGGTTTATGAACTCTGTGTAAACTGATCACTTTCAAATTTATATATATCTAGTCCTTTATTATCTGAATTCACACTTACATATTCAACTACCTAGTTCCATATTTACTTGATTGCTTAATTAATCATAACATAGTCGAAAAACAAATTCTTGATTTCTGGTCATCTTCCCTGGTTCTCTTGGATCTCAGTAAACTGCCATTCTTTCATTTGCACAAGCTAAAAGCTGTAAGTCATCTTTGACTCCTATGTCCTTTCATTCACTCCTTACCCTATTAGCACATTATCTTGACAAAATTTCGCTACAATTTTCATGTCATCTTTTTAATTGCATCAGCTTGGTTATTGTGTAATTCTTTGTAATGTCATTCATTTATACTTTTGACTTGGGAGTCGTTTAGCCTAGAACCAGGAAAGGCGTAGAGTCTGAAACAGAACTGATTTGTTCTGCTCTGCATTTTCCTACTTCCTCAAAAAGAAGAAAAAAAGAGGTGGCAATCATTATAACACTTTGCTGTCAGTATATCAAAACATATTTGGTTTACTGCCATGTTAGACTAGATAAAGACAGGCATAAAAGTAGTTGTGATTTTACATGTTCAGCCTTTAGGGTTTCTATTTATGTGCCACTCCCTATCAACCACATTTACAAATTGTGCTACTATAGATATCTTTGTGGCTTACAATGGTCCTAAAAGCAAATTTAATGCTAATTATTACCATTAAAATATTTTTTTGGGGGACAGACATCTGGTTTTAAAGTGGCAGTATAGAAGCAAGCTGGTTTCACTCTCCCCCACAGAAAACCAAAAACATACAGAGCTGTGATTTTCCCCACCAACAGTCCAGAACTCAAATATGAGGGTGAGACAGACCCCAGGGCCATAAAGAAAACTTTTTTGGAAAAAAACTTCAAGCAGATGGTAGGAGAATTGGACTTCCACATCTGCAATGTTCCCCTACCCATTTAGCCCAGCAATAATTTTATGAAAAGGAAATGCTCATTGGAGCATTTTGGATTTCAGATTTTTAGATTAGGAATAGTTTATGTGGTATGTATTCTGCAAATATTTAAAAACCTGAGAAAAATCCAAAATCCAAAATACTTTGAGTCCCAAGCACTTTGCATAAGAGATACTCAATCTGAATATGATAAGTTCTTAACAATATTTGTCATTCAGGAAATGCAAATTAATGCCAAATGAGATAGTGGTATACATTCACTAGAATGGTTGTAAACAAAAAAGCAGAAAATACCAAGTATTAACAAAGCTATAGAGAAACCGGAATTCTCATATATTGCTGGTGGGGACATAGAACGGTTATAGCTACTTTTGAAAGCCGATTGTTACCTTCTTTAAAATTACGTACAAACCAAGAATTCTATGCATAGAAATCTAACCAATATAAATAAACATATATTGACACAAAGACTTGTATGCACATTTTATAGCAATAATATTTGTAATAGTCAAAGGCAGAAACAACTCAAATGTCTATCAACTGGTGAGTAGATAAATAAAAGGTGGTATATCCATACAATGATTTTTATTCTGTGATAAAAAGGAATGAAATACTGACACATTCCATAACATGGAGAGCCTCAAAAACATTATGGCAAATGCAAAAGACTACATTGTTAGAAGGCAGAATGGTGGTTGCCAGGGGCTGAAGGGAAGGGAAAATGGGAAATTTGTGTTTAGTGGGCATAGTTTCAGTTGGGAGACATGAAAATGTTCTGTAGATAGAGAGGGAAAGTAACCATTATAAAAGTAGGCCTAGAACATTCTTATAACAAAGGCCTACTTTCCAGGAAAAAGACATTATCATGGCCTTATCCTATATAGGGGAAGGACAGTTTCTACAACTCTCTAGCTCCCTCTCTAGGCTTTCTGTCCCACCTACTGGGATGAAGGGAGATCCTAAGAAACCTAGTAAAAGTCACAGCCCAGGGACACAGGCCAACTAAAAAGATTGAAATTTAATCATAAGACTCTAGAATGATTCCCTTCCTTCACACTTCACCCCTCTATCAATCAGGCTGTATTATCATAACAGGGAATTACAGCTGAAGGAGCTGAAAAACACAGACTCTCTTGAAGAGGAGTCCTTAGGAAGTGTGACAGTTAATATTGAGTGTCAACTTTATTGGATTGAAGGATGCAAAGTATTGTTCCTGGATGTATCTGTGAGGGCATAGCCAAAGGAGATTAACATTGGAGTCAGCGGACTTGGAGAGGTAGACCCACCCTCAATCTGGGCATGCAGAATCTAATCAGCTGCCTGTCACAGCTAGAATAAAAGCAGCCAGAAGAACGTGGAACGACCAGACTTCCCGAGCCTTCTGGCCTCCATCTTTCTCCCATGCTGGATGCTTCCTGACCTTGAACATCACAAGTTCTTCAGCTTTTGGATTCTTGGACCTACACTAGTGGTTTTCCAGGAACTCTTGGGCCTTTGGCCGCAGACTAAACGCTGCACTGTTGGCTTCCCTACTTTTGAGGTTTTGAGACTTGAACTGGCTTCCTTGCTACTCAGCTTGCAGATGGCCTGTTGTGGGATTTCACCTCGTGATTGTGTGACTAATTTCAAGATTTAAATCTAAGACCCAAAACCATAAAAATTCTAGAAGATAACATTGGAAATACCCTTCCAGATATTGGCTTTGGCAAACACTTCATGACCAATAAGCTAAAAACAAATGCAACAAAAACAAAGGCAAGAATATGGGACTTAATTAAACTAAAAAGCTTCTGCATAGCAAAAGAAATAATCAGCAGAGTCAACAGACAACCCACAGAGTGGGAGAAAATCTTCACAAACTATGCATCTGACTAAGGACTAACATCCACAGTCTTCAAGGAACTCAAATCAGCAAGAAAAAAATAATCCCATCAAAAAGTGGGCTAAGGACACGAATAAACAGTTCTCAAAATAAGATATTCAAATGGCCAATAAACATATGAAAAAATGCTCAACATCACTAATGATCAGGGAAATGCAAATCAAAACCTCAATACAACACCCTTACTCCCCCAAGAATGGTCATAAGCAAAAAAATTAAAAAAAACAACAGATGTTGGCATAGATGTGGTGATCAGGGAACACTTTTACACTGTTGGTGGGAATGTAAAGTAGTACAATCACTATGGAAAACAGTGTGGAGATTCTTAAAGAACTAAAAGTAGATCTACCATTTGATCCAGCAATCCCACTCCTGGGTATCTACCCAGAGGAAAAAAAGTTATGTGAAAAAGCATTTGCATACACATGTTCATAGCAGTACAATTCGTGCAAAAATATGGACCCAACCCAAATGCCCATCAATCAACGAGTGGATAAAGAAAATGTGGTATATATACATACCATGGAATAGTAATCATAAAAAGTAATGAAATAATGGCATTTATAGCAACCTGGATGGAAATGGAGGTTACTTCACCATTATTCTAAGTGAAGTAACTCAGGAACATAAAACCAAACATCCTATGTTCTCACTTATAAGAGTGAGCTAAGCTATGAGGATGCAAAGGCATAAGAATGATACGGTGGACTTTGGGAACTTGGGAGAAAGGGTGGGAGCAGGGTGAGAGATAAAAGACTACAAATTGGTTGGGAAGCTGAGGCGGGTGGATTGCCTGAGCTCAGTTGTTCCAGACCAGCCTCAGCAACATGGTGAAACCCCGACTCTTATTACAAATACAAAAAGTTAGCCAGGCATGGTGGCACACCTGTAGTCCCAGCTACTCAGGAGACTGAGGCATAAGAATTGCTTGAACTCAAGAGATAGAGGTTGAAGTGAGCCGAGATCGTTCCACTTCACTCCAGACTGGGAGACAGAGTGAGACTCTGTCTCCAAAAATTAAATAAATAAAAAAGACTACATATTGGGTGTAGTGTACACTGCACAGCTTAGGTGATTGGTGCACTAAAATCTCAGAAAGCACCACTAAAGAACTTATCCATGTAACCAAACACCACCTGTTCCCCCAAAACCTATTGAAATTAAAAAATAATGCTGTTATCATCCATTATTTGAAAAACACAAATTTAGGGGGATGGTCAGAGGAAAAAACTATTAACCTAGGAGTTCTGAAACCTAGGGTCTACTTCCAGCTTTGGTAACTCTACAACGCTACATTCATTAGAGGAGATTTGACTAAAATTCCTTCAACCTTTAACACTGAATAACCTTCTTGGGGGGGTCTTTTTTCAAGTGCTGAAGCAGTAGAAACATTACGTAATTACAATTACACTACATTTAGAAAGTGCACTTATTAGAATTCATTTTAATCTTACATTTTAAAAAACCTTACTCTGTAATTTGAAGATTATCTAAAACTAATTTTACATTGCCTCTCTTGGAGAAAAGGTGCTCTTCATCACAGCTTCAAGCGGGAAATTTCACAATCAACACAGCGGCCCTTCGCGAGTCTCTCATAACATTAGCGACGCGCGGATTTCTTGGTCGTCTCCTTAGAAACCGCAGCTTGACGGGACCTTTGCAAGCACTGGGATGGGTGCCGGGAAGGGTAGGTGTTCTGAGGCTGTCGCGTTCGCCTGCGCCTGCGCCTGCGCGGGTTTATGTCGCGCTCCTAGTTAGAGAAGCCCGGATGGAGGACGCAGAGGCACGCTGTTGCCATGGCAGTTTCTTCCTGGCTGCCGCGGAGGCAGGTGCGGGTCTCCGTGGCCTCAATGTGAAGAGCTTAGAAAGACGAGGAGAGAACTCCCCCGGCCATCTCTGTGACCCCAGCCGCTGCATTTTACACAGGCAGGAGGGATATTGAGGGAGAAAGGGGAAGGACGGTGCGATAATATTAATGATGGGAAAGAGAGTAAAGGTATAAACGTCTAGTATAGCTGGGAGGGAAGGTAGGTAGTGACGGAAGAAGCTTTCTGGTGGTACCTTATCCTCTACAGTCCGGCGTCCAACGAGTCTGGTCCTGGTGGGGAAGTGTGGCAACACCTTGCTTTACTATGTATGGAGGAAACTCGTCTGAGGGTAGCTTAGACTAAGTTTTTGTCATATTCTTTCCCCTCTCAAAGTTCTTGAATGGGGAAAGTAATAATTTTGTCCCTGGGAGAAAAAGTCATTCCTGAAATTGTAGCCTCCATGAGGAGGCAATGGTATTCATTTCGTTGGGATCCTGAATGCAGATTAAAATTATCACCGAAAGTTCATAAAGTATCTAACATCACACTTTGCGACAGGTTATGATTTTTTAAAAATTTACTTATAGGATCACAGTCTTGGCAGGATACACAAGAATAATGGGCCAGATGGTTTCATGATGTTATGGATTAGTTTTTGCTTAAGTACTTATTTTATATTCAAGGGCATTCTCTTTGATATGCGTTCAGTTCTTAGATTTTAAACAAGCATATGTTTAAAACGCTGTAAGATGGGAATCAATTATTTAGATTAAACTATTTTTAAACATTCTGAATTGTGAAAGAAAGTTATCAAAATTATATTATACTTATGTACTTGGCTTAAGATTCCCACTGAAAGATCTGCAGTCCACCTATCCACATGGGATTTACCAGACACTCAGGGAGGAATTGATTTCCGTAAGTGGTAAATATAGCCACTTACCTATATTTTTACTGATGATAAATGTTGAAATTTAAATGTGTGAACCTCACAATCATAAAGTAGGAAGTGTTAAGTGATTTTGTTTGTGTACGATGTATTTTTGTTCTGGCTTGTTGACTGTGTACCATATGGACAGTACCCTGGAGATGTAGATTAAGAGAATTGAAGGGGTTGAATATCCTGTGACGCATTTGAAAAAGGCTTAAGGGATTTGATAACCAGAGTTTGCAATTTATGTTCTTTGTTTACTTGAGAACCAGTCATGAGGGTTTTTTGATTTTTAAGTTATAGGAAAAGAATTTCACTTCAGATTTAATGCGACTTGATTTACTTTTCAGAGTTACCTTAACTATGGTGTTTTTTTCCCTTTGAATTATGGCATAATAGTATGATGTAAAGACCCCTAATCTGTTAAATTTTTAATTATTGTGTTTTTAATTTATTATACAGGTATTATGCTTTCATTTTAAATTTTAGTTTTCATGTGGGTGGAATTCTCTGTAAACAATAAAACATATCTACTAAAGTCTTCAGGCAGCCATTTATTTATGAGTTCGGAACTAGGTTTATCATAAAATCAGGGAAAGGACTGAAGAGTTCCAAATAAATATTCTTATAATATTTATGTAAAGAAAGGAAAACTGATCATTGCAAGGAGTTGTGACTGTGAAAAGTACTATTTTTACTGTAAATATTTTGCATTGCAGTGAGATTTAATTTATTCTGCATCATTCATGGTGCATTTGGTTTTAATTGGTCAGTAGGTAGAAATGATAGCTTAATTTAGCTTGTCTTGCAGTTAGGAAGTGAAACTCACTCTAAAGTGTTGATTTAGTTTATCAAGATAAAATTTGCCCTCAACTTGATTTAGAAATTATTGAAGGGCTTGCTTTTGAATGCTTTAGCAAATCTATTTTGTATTTTTAGTTTTAAATAAATATCTAGAAGAAATTATAGCCCAATGAATATTTTAGAAAAAAATTATCCAGTTGAACAATTAACAGTTATTATTCCATAATAATTAAATTGAGTAATTAACAGTTATTCAGTAATAACTTGGTCTGGCCAAAGGTTTGGGGAGAATTAAGTGGCTAAAACAGTTTGTGGATTATTTATTAATTCAGCATACCTAAAGTGTACCTAAAATTAACTTTATCTTTGAGAAGGAAAAAGAGCCAACATTAATAACTATCCAGAGAAAAGATGGCATTTTAATGAAACAGACTTCAGAACTTTTTTTTTTAAATTGTACTTTAGATTCTGGGGTACACGTGCAGATCATGCAGGATTGTTGCATAGGTACATACATGGCACAGTGGTTTGCTGCCTCCATCCCCCCATCACCTATATCTGGCAATTCTCCCCATGTTATCTCTCCCCAACCTCCCCACCCACCACTGTCCATCCCCTAGTCCCCAACAGACCCCAGTGCATGATGCTCCCGTCCCTGTGTCCATGTGTTCTCATTGTTCAACACATTCCTGTGAGTGGGAAAATGCATTGTTTGATTTTCTGTTCTTGTGTCAATTTGCTGAGAATTATGATTTCCAGATTTATCCATGTCCCTATAAAGGACATGAACTCATCGTTTTTTATGGCTGCATAGTATTCCATAGTGTATATGTGCCACATTTTCCTTGTCTGGTCTATCATTCATGGGCATTTGGGTTGGTTCCAGATCTTTGCTATTGTAAACAGTGACACAATGAACATACGTGTGCATATGTCTTTACAGTAGAATGATTCATAATCCTTTGGGTATATACCTAGTAATGGGATTGCTGGGTCAAATGGAATTTCTATTTCTAGATCCTTGAGGAATCGCCATACTGTCTTCCACAATGGTTGAACTGATTTACAGTCACACCAACAGTATAAAAGTAGAATTTTGTTTTTTTTAAGTCTTGAATTTAATCATCAGACACTGATCATTTGTTTTAGATTAAGCTTTATCATACTACTATGCATTTGCTTTTAAAATTCTCTTGCTCTTCATGAGTTGAGAATTGCTAATTTGCATCTTATAGAAAAAAAGACTCTTAGAGTTAAAAAGAATCTTAAAGGTCATGTAGCTCAATTGCTTTCCTAAAGCTTGTGTCCTTTAAAATGTTCCTTCCACAGTCCTCTTTGGGGCTATGTATAAACATTTATATTGACAGGAAATACAGTACTTCTGTAGGCAGCTAATTACACTCAGGACAGAGTTGAAAATGTAAGTTCTGTCTTACCTTGTGCCAAAGTTTGCCCCTGAGTTTCCAGCCCTTGGTTCTAGTTTTACTCCTTGAGATTATGCAAGTCCATTTCTCCTTCAAAATATTGTAAAGCAGTTGTTCTTAATTTTCTCTTCTTTAGGTTAACATTTCCAGAGTTTTCAATTATTCCTCAGTATCTACTTTAAGGATTTTACTCTTCCTTTTCCTTCTCTTTTATGTTTCTTTCTCCTGGTTTGCTAGCCTCTGAATGTGCTCTAGTTTGGTTTTTGTTTTCTAAACTCTAGTAAAAAAATCTGGACACGATACTTCATGTATTATCTATATGTCTCAACCTTAGCGCTCATTTACATTTTTAGTATCCTCATCATTCTTTTAACTCATTCTTTTAAAATCATTTTAAAACTCAGAGTTTAGTGAACTCTACTGTTCACTAACACCTGTTAAAATATTTTACACATAGTATGAAAAGGCTTATCTCTACTTATCTAGTACGTGTGCAGCTAGTTGAAAGATACTGTCCCACATGGCTGCACTATCATTTGATGGTGAACTATGGGAAGAAAAAATGTAAATCTCTCTTTAGTAAAATTGTATCAGGTTAGATAGTCTGGGCAAAGATTTGGGGAGAGTAAAGTGAAACTAATGGCTAAAACAAAGTTTGTGGATTATTTATTCAGCTATAATATTTCTCATTTTATACCTTTAAAAATGTGCCTATGTCTCATGTGTTATTGACATCTGGACTTTCTACTTCCAAAAATAATATTAGGCAAATTAATCTTGATGCAGGAGCAAGGTAAGTAAAGTATAGAAACAGAGTCTCAAGCATTTGGGCCCCTGTAGATCTGATTTTTGCACTTCTTTTGAGATTGGACCTAAAATTCTATGAAAATTTAGAAAGCATTGTTCTTTTTTAAGTCAATAGTTGAAAGTATGCAAATTATTGCTGTGTATTTCCACCTTTGTTGATTTCATGGCAGTTACATCTACATTAATAATTTTCCCCAACCTTTTTCTCTTTGGAAAGATAATATGACATCAAACTGACCCTTATACTCTTTCCAGACCCTTCTTCAAAACACACTATGTTCAGGCCATGCTGTGCAGTCCCATGTGCTTCCATGTTTGTTTGTTCTCTCTCATGCTGTCTCTTTGCTTAGAATAACTGATGAACTTTCATACTGGTATTCAAACTCCATACCAGCTTCCTTTGATAGTTTCAATTTTGTATTGAGTTACTTGTTTTTTTATTCTTCCTTACATATCCTTTATTCCAATTGTCTACGTTTTTATTTATGCTTTTTATTTAGCTTTGTCTTCTCTAGCATACTGCAAGCACCTTAAGGTGCTTATAAATCATTATGAATATATATAGGAAAATAGTAGGTGTTCAACAAATGTTCATCAAAATTTCTTTGATAGGCTAGGTGCTGTGGCTCATATCTATAATCCCAGCACTTTGGGAGGCCGAGGAGGGTGGGTTGCTTGAGGTCAGGAGTTCAAGATTAACCAGCCAACATGATGAAACTTCATCTTTACTAAAAATACAAAAATTTGCTGGGCATGGTGGCACCCTCCTGTAATCCCAGCTACTCAGGAGGCTGAGGCGGGAGAATCACTTGAACCCGGGAGGCAGAGGTTGCAGTGAGCTGAGGTCATGTCACTGCACTATAGCCTGGGCAACAGAGTGAGCAGAGTGAGAGAGACTGTGTCTGAAACACACACACACACACACACACACACACACACACACACACACACACA